TATTGATGCGTGCCCCCACTTCCACCCCCCGGTAGAATCTAAGCCCCAAGAGAACAGAACAGAAATCTCTTCTTTCTTGTTCATTTGTCTGTATTCAGTCATCAGAGCATGGCCTGGCACAGAGGAGGCACCGAATCAGTAGTTGCTGGGTGAATGAAAAGCCTGGGGAGCTGCGTGAATGGATTTTTCATTGAAAGTAGATCAGTGGCTGCTCTGTGGGAAGTGGGTTAGAAGGAGACCAAGCTGGAAAGAGAGGCCAATTAGGATGCTCTTTTATTGGTACATAAAATAAATGTGAGGTTTTGTTTTCTTGTATTCTTTGTAAAGGTATTAATTTCTCACAATTCTGTGAGTTTGAACCTTGTTATCACTTTCTCTTTATATATATGTATATAATTACCCTTTGACAGAATAGTTCGCAAACCTTCATTTGAACATTTACTAGGAATCAGCCTCTAAAGCTGTGATTTTGCAAATATATGACCATATATATATATATATTTTTTTTTAGGTTTTTGCCATAGGGCATGTGAGCTTGCTGGAGAGAAACAGAGAGAGCGGGAAAGTGAGAAATCACCTCCCAGGAGAGATGGCTACACTGCAATCACTTCTCTTCTAGTATCCTCTTGGGACTATGGGCCTGCGTGCACATGCACCCAGCATGCTTTTCAACCCACTTGGTTGGAACTTGAACCAGGTGATTGGCCATGTGGGATACAGTGCTTTAACTACCACACCACATGCCAGCCCTCACTGTCCCTACATTACAGATGAGGAAGCTAAGGCACAGAGAAGAATATACCATAGGATATAGCTGGGATACCAGCACACACTCTGGCTTCAGAGTTCATACTGTTGAACACTATACTGCCTTTTTTTGTTTGTTTGTTTGTTTTTGGAGAGGTTTTTGCTATAGGGTGCATGCACTTGCCAGAAAGACAGAGAGAAAGAGATAGAAGAGATAGAGAAATCACCTGGGGCGGGGTCTTGCCAGAAAGACAGAGACAAAGAGATAGAAGAGATAGAGATAGAGAAATCACCTGGGGCGGGGGGGGGATGGACACGCCACAATCCCTTCTCCTCCATTCTCCTCTTGAGATCTTGGGCGCACACACATACATGTGCCTGGCGTGAGTTTAAGCCACCGGGTCCGGGACTTGAACCGCGGTCTGCTACATCGGAGTTCAGCGACATAGCCATTACGCTAACTGCTGGTCTCCACTATACTCCTTTTTATACTTATAACTTTTATTCTTTCTAAGCCTTTGCTTATATTGTTTCTTCTTTTTATTGTTTTTGTTTTGTAAAATAAATACATACATACATACATACATACATAAATTTGTCAGAGTGGGCTCATAGAGAAAGATAGATAGAGTGGGGGAATAAGAAAGCACCTCCCATGGGCATTGGAAACACAGCAATCTCTTTTCTCTCTTCTCAGGTTTTGGGCACCCATGCACACGCACCTGGTTCTCAAGCCGATGGTCCTGGACTCTGAGCATGGTCCGCCATGGGAGATCCACCTGCTCTGACCACAGACTATGGCCCATGTTTCTCCTTTTAAAGAAAGGTAAAGGGTTTTACAAAAGTCACATCTGCTTAAAAGTTAAGAGTGGCTCTTAAAGTGCTGGGAAGAGGAAGGTGGGTGGGAACCACCCCAGAAGGGCTTCAGGGGGTATCATGGAGACCCAGAACTCCCTCCCCAAGACTATGAAAGTGTCGATGACTCTTTTTTTTTAATTTAAAAAATTTTTTAAATTATTTTTTTAGAGAGGTTTTTACTATAGGGTGCGTGCGCTCGCCAGAGAGACAGAGAGACAGAAAGTGAAAAATCACCCCCCGGGGGGATGGCCATGCCACAGTCCCTTCTCCTCCATTCTCCTCTTGGGATCTTGGGCATGCACGCACACGCGCCCGGTGTGAGTTTAAGCCACCAGGCCCCGGACTTGAACCGCGGTTGACTACATGGGTGTCCAGTGACATAGCCATTACGCTAACTGTTGGTCCCCCAAAGTGCCAATGACTCTTACAAAGTGTTGGATTTGTGGCCAGCTGGTGGTTAAGGTGTTGGACTCCCACATGGCCAACTATGTCAAGTCCAGGACCTGGCGGCTCACTTCCTCACTTTCTCTCTCTCTCTGTTGTACTGTGGTCAAATAAATAATACTAAATAAAATTAAATAATTCTTAAAAAAAAAAACCAAAAGAATAAACAAACCAAAGTGTTGGATTTATCTGAGTATACCAGAAGATATCACTGGTGGAATTGAGCATTCGGCCATAGTTCAGGACCTATGGTAGAAAAATACTCTGTAGCTACCTGGATTGTTATGGGTGGCGTAACTGTCTGGTGTGCGGAATTTTTGTTCCAGAAAGTGGGAAAACGCAGCAATTGCAATAGGTCGTGGCTTTCTTTTCCTTCAGATTGCTAGTCACAGTGATGACGTGCAGATTGACTGGAAGAGAGTTGAAAAAGGTGTAAACACAGACAAACAATAGATTAAGAAACAAGCAAACAAAGCAGCACTGGAAATCAACTATATAATTGAAAAAGCAACAGAATTTATCAGGCAGATCATTGTGATATCCAGTGGATTCGTGGAAGGCTTTATACCAGGCCTTGCTTCTTAAGGACATAAGAAATCTACCCTAGTGGACTCAACTATGAGAAGAAAAGTGGTGGAGGGGGCTGGTAGGTGGCGTGGTGTGGTTAAGGTGCTGGACTCCTACATGGCCAACTACAGTTCGAGTCCCAGACCTGGTGGCTTGCTTTCTCACTTTCCCTTTCTCTGTCTCTGATAAAATTAAAAAATAAATAATAATAACAAATAAAAATAAAAAAATAAATCTTAACCAAAAAAAAAAAGTGGTGGAGGTAAGATGATCTTTCAACAGTATGTGCTACCAGAGTCACCAGGACAAGGAGGAACAACTGGCTAGACAATACTGAACTCACGACTTAGCACTTTGCCACCTAAGGTTGGTACTTGCTGTAAAATAACTCGTATGGTATATGAACAGTAGTATTCCAGAGCAAAACATGGCTTTCATCATGTTTTAAACATTTCCATCTGTTTAGAAGTTATCCTATAAAATATCACCATTGATTATAGATATATATAGGAAAAAATTGAATTTAGTTCCCCGTGAAATCGTATCCTTTTTATTCAAATAAAAAGTCCTTCATTGTGCTTGGAAACAAAAAAAGTGTTAAAAGTGCTATTTGGGGGCCGTTAGGTGACGTGGTGTTTAAAGGGCTGGACTCCCACGTGGCTGACCATGGTTTGAGCCCCGGACCTGGAGACTTGCTTTCCTCCTTTCCCTTTCTCTGTCTCTCCCTGGTCAAATTAAACAAATACTAATGATAATGATAAAAGAAATAATTCTTTTTAAAAAAGTGCTATTTATTAGTCTACAGGTTGTTTCACCAATGTTTTATCAAATTATGAAAGTTCAAGTATAATAATGTTTGAAGACTATAAAGACGATAGTGTATCATTTCTAATAAAAAAGGTATATTTATTTTTATTTCTTCCATGAGAGAAAGACTGAGAGGGAGAGAAAGATGTCATACTCCACAGGGTCCCACGTCATTATCCACCTCCTGTCCCAGGCAGCCAGGACTATGGTATTTGGAGATGTGTGTGTGTGCGTGTCCACCATGTCCAGGACCTTCCCATGTGGCCTCAGCATCGCAGAGATCTGTATCTCTGCGGTCTCACCCTGCTGTGTCATCCTGCAGCTGGCCTGTGCTGTTTTACTGAATATTGTCCCCTTGTCAAAGTCCACCTTATTGACACCTTAATGAAGACGACGTCTCTACACATTCACTGTTTGTCTGGATACCTTGTAGATGACACCACAATTCTCTACACAATCCGGGGGGTATCTCCTTTTTTGGTGTCATAAGGCACGTGCAGGCTGGAGACAAGAGAGGGAAAGTGAGAAATCGCCCCACCTGGAAACGGCCAGACCGCAATCCCTTCTCCTCCATTCTCCTCTCAGGAATCCGGTCCCTTCTTCATTCTCTTGAGATGAAGAGAACACACACACACGCACACGTGACCAGCATGCGTTTCAAGCCACCTGGCCTGGACTGGAACTGTGGGAGTCCAGCGCCTTAACCACTAACCACCTGCTGGTCTCTCCCAGAAAGTCCGAGTGTCTCCCACGAAAGCCCCCCCCCCCCCCCAGAGTATTTTGCCTTAGATGCATCCGCTAGAGGGAGGTAGGGAGAGAAAGAAAGAGAGGAGAGAAAGAAATCAAGAAATCAATCCTTAGGGGCCATGGCTACGAGGCAAGCCCTCTCCTCCATTCTCCTCCCAGAACCTTGGGCATGCATGCATACGCGTCTGGCGTCTTTTTAAGCCGCCGGTCTGGGACTCGAAACGCGGTCAGCCACGTCGGAGTCCAGCAAGGTAACCCGGACATAACCACTACGTCACTTACCACCACCACCGCCCCCACGACCTGGGTATCTTTTCTCACAGATGTCCGCAAAGAATCATACACCCTCTGAATTGCAAAGAGGGACCTAGAAGGGAATGGGCAGAGGCGCCGATGACTTGCCCCAAATCAAATCTGAGACAGACAAACCAGAAAACTTTATTGGCCCGTGTGAGTTTCTCTACCGGTCCGCACCTGTGCTTCCTTAACCTGGCTATGCAGCAGTGTCTATCAAAAAGCCCGAGAAACACCTGCCTCGGGATCACGTGGGGCAAGGACGGACTAAGGCAGATCGGAGGAATCCGCATTTCAACGGGCTCCTTGGACATTTCCGCGCACACGGAAGTTTGAAAAACTACATTCTCACGGCGAGGTGAGCACCGTTCTCTACCCCGGTGTCGTCTAAGTGTGTTGGCTTTAAATTCCCACTGCATCATGGGAAATATAGTTTTGGCTCCTCCCCGCCCCGGCCCTCCGAGCGCTTGACGGAAGGGACCGAGCCTCTCCGGAAATAGCCGAGTGGCCTGTGGCGGGCCCTTTCGGGCCCGGTTGCATTTTGGGAAAGGGCAGTTTCCGTTAGGTGCTGAAGGCTGAGGCGCGCGACGGACCCATTCCCACGTGAAGCGCGAACACCCCTCAGCGGGGCGGCGGAGCGTCCCGGAAGCAGCGGGGAACCGGAAGTAGCCCGCGGAGGCGCTGCAGCTCGTCCCGGAGCCCGGCGTGAGGCGCCTGGAAGCGCGGCGACGGCGCCATGTCCCTGATCTGCTCCAGTGAGTACAGGCTGCGACGAATCCTGAGAAGCCGGAGCGTGGAGGAGGGAGTGTGTGCTGACCCCTGAGGCCCCAGGGTCGGAGCGGAGGCGGGAATGGGGCGCCCGGGAGCCCCGGCGGCGGCCTGTCAGCACCGGCGTCCTCTCCTCAACGCCGAGCGCATTTGTGCAGCGCTCTGCTGTTCGCCCAGCACCTCAGGTTTACGGTGGCGGAGGTTACTGAGACTAACCACCTGGAGACGGCCCTGGACTGCTGCAGGGGAAACCGCGCTGGAAACCCTGCGGCTTAGCCAGGGTCCGCCTCCGAGTGGCGTTGTGATCGGATTCGAGGCCCTAGGCCTCAGTCTCCCCGTCCGCAAAATGGAGAGTATGGCGGGGGATGTTTTCTGAGGTATCGGCCGGCTGGAAGGAGCCTCTGCAGTTTGCGAAGGTCACACGAGTTAGAGGCAGAGGCAGGGCTGGAAGCCAGGTGTCTGGGTCGCGACCTCACTGTGTCTGACTAATAAAAATAGCGTGTTTGTGAAGCCCTTATCGATTCCCAACGCGTTTTCAAACCAGTGATCTCGTTTTACACTCACAGGGATTCCTAAAGTTGAAGTGAAGATCCTAGTTGTACAGATGAGGATATAAGGCTCAGGAAAATAGGGCTTAACTAAGGATGCACATCTAATAAATGGCAGAGCTGAGTGATGGAGCTAGGTTCTTAGACCCTGGAGCCAGGCTTATTCATTGCAGGCGTGTCCCTACCTTTCAATAGATTACTATAGCTTCCCACTCCTTTCTCTATCCCATCCTTTGCTTCTCAGAACCTTTCCACTAATCTAAAGAGGGAAAGGAAGGAAGAGAAATGATGAATAGAAAAAGGAGTTCCTCATGTTGAAGAAATCCCAGTTGTTTTTTTTTTTTTTCTGGAGAGGTTTTTGCTATAGGGCTCATGCGCTCTCCAGAAAGACAGAGAGACAGAGAGAAAGTCCCCCCCCCCTTTGGGAATGACCACACCACCATCCCTTCTCCATTCTCCTCTTGGGATCTTGGGCATGCATGCACATGCACCTGGAGTGAGTTTAAGCCACCGGGTCCGGGACTCGAACCATGGTCGACTACATGGGAGTCCAGCAACATACCCATTATGCCAACTGCTGGTCCCAAGAAATCTCAGTTTTCAGATTGTTAAATAAAATGTAGAGGAGGCCATTGGGTTCAACTGAGCTCCTGCACTATTCCTAGCTGAGGAATCCCAACTGGTGCTAAAGTTCCAGGTCACCAAATGAAAGATGAGACAAATCCCCAAAGAAGCCCGTTTTAGCTGGCATAGGAAATCTCCTCTACTTTAATTTTAACAGAGAAAGTAACTTTGAAATGACCAGTGCCTTTTTGTTTTCTGTTTCTGCTTCCTTCGGCCTTTTTCTTTGTAAAACCGACTCCTTACCACATCAGAATTCGTACTTTCTTATACAGTGAAATGTTGCCCAATTTGTGAAGTGCAGATAGGCCAATTGAAATATTTAAATTTGTCCTAATTTTGTCTTTTCACAAAAAAATGTTTTTATGTTCATTGTTTCCATTTGCCCTGTTTGCTTTTTATCTCTTTTATAGTCTCCAGCACTATCCATCCCCTAGTGCCCTCATTGACTCATTTAGTAGATATTTTGGGCATCTACATTGTATGGAAAGTCAGACCAGTGGTAATCCCTATACTCAGGGCAAACGGTCTGTTGAGGCAAGGTTGTAAATGATACCTCTGTTGGGAATTGCTAGTATGCTTTAATCTATGTAAACTACTTAGACTCCTGCTTGGCACATAGTAAACACCATGTAAATATTTATTATTGTAGTGCTTGTCACAGTGCTTTTGTGTTACAGTGAAACATATATTTGGTTTTCTTCCCCTTTTCCTGGCTTATAATTTCTAAAGTCCTACCGGCAGTTCCTGGGTAGGATGGGGATTGGTGACCGGAAAGACCGAGATTTTAAAGTTGGGACTTGGTAGTCCCACTCCCCAGCCTCTATTGAAGTGGTAATAGCTGAAGGCCAAGTGAATCACCAGTGGCCAATGGTTTAACCAGCCTGTGCAATGGAGCCTCCATAAGGACAGGTTTTGAAGAGCTTCCACATGGTGAGACACGAGGTTCCTGGAGAGTGTCATACCTGTGGGGGGTGGGGGGGGCATTGGAGCTCTGTGCTCCTTCTCTCATACCTTGCCCTATGTATCTCCTCATCTGTATCCTTTGTAATAGCCCTTTTTTGGGGAGAGATTTTTTTACTATAGGGCGTGTGTGCTTGCCAGAAAGAGAGAAACAGAGAGACAGAAAGCGAGAAATCACCCCCCCCCCAGGGGGGATGGCCATGCCACAATCCCCTTTCCATTCTCCTCTCGGGATCTTGGACATGCACACACATGTGCCCATCCTGAGTTTAAGCCACTGGGTCCAGGACTTGAATCACGGTCGACTACCTGGGAGTTCAGCAACATAGCCATTATGCTAACTGCTGGTCCCTGTAATAGCCCTTTTTAATTTATTAATTTTTAATTTGACTAGAGAAAAAGAAGGGGAAAGTGAGAAAGCAAGCTTCCAGGTCTGGGACTTGAACCACAGTCAGACATGTGGGAGTCCAGCACTTTAACCGCAACACCACCTGCTGGCCCCTTTTTTTATTCATTATTTTAAAAAAGTTTTCTTGTTTTTTTTCTTGTGTTTTGTTTTTTTGAACCCCCTCCCCCACCTTCGTAATAGCTTTTCTAATAAACCAGTAACTATAAGTAAGTGCTTCTCTGAGTTCTGTAAGTTGCTCTAGTAAATTGATCGAACCAAAGGAGGGATTTGTGGGAACCCCAAAGCACAAGTAAAGCAACCTGGGGCTTGTGATTGGTATCTGAAATAGGGCTTAGTCTTATCCTGTGAGATATAACAGTACTTCATAGTGTTAGAATTGAATTGAATTAGTGGACATGCAACTGGTGGCTGAAGGACTGACTTCTTGCTTAGTGTACGGAAGAAGAACCCCATACAAGTGAGGTCACAGAATTATTTTGTGTTGTAAGAATATAGGAAAAATTATTATTCCTGTGGGTTCAAACTCTATACTTTCTCTGTCTGATATAGGGCCCTAGGACTGAGATGGATGGCAGGGATCTGAGTGGTCTTATTTGTATCTTCATGCTGTGGAGTATAGTGGGTACCTAACTACTTTGTTCAAAATCGAGATGGGCAGGATTATTGGCTGCTGCTGTTTAGGTGCTTGGCACATAATAGTTTTGTAATGCTTATTTGTTGACCATGTCACTGTCAGGAGTCTTAATGAAGAATTTAGTTCTATAGCTGGAAAACATTCTGGGCCAGTAGAGAACTGGTTTGGTTCGAATGTCCTGGTCTCTGATGGTTCAATGGTTGAGTGTGAGGATGTGTGATGTGGTTGGGACTAGCAGCAGGTGAGGATTCCCCCCGCCCAATATTACCTTTCACCCCTTGCTCACTGCCTGCCTTTTCTCTGCAGTCTCCAATGAAGTGCCAGAACACCCATGTGTGTCCCCTGTCTCTAATCATGTCTATGAGCGACGGCTCATTGAGAAGTACATTGCAGAGAATGGTACAGACCCCATCAACAACCAGCCTCTCTCTGAGGAGCAGCTCATCGACATCAAAGGTGCTTAGTGGCCGGCCCTAGTCTAGGGCCTTGGTAGCTCAGCCTGAGAGAATGGTTGGTGGGGCCAGTGTATTGGAAGAAGAAATGAATGACCCATTAATGACTGAGGGGGACAGAGACACTGAGTTCAGCTTCTTCAAATCCACTTTCCCTTTCTTGGCAGTTGCTCACCCAATCCGGCCCAAGCCTCCCTCAGCCACGAGCATCCCAGCCATTCTGAAAGCCTTGCAGGATGAGTGGGTGAGTTGCTGAAAGAAAATCAGTATCTTCTCTGCTTGAATAGAGCATATCCCTGGACTAGGACTTCAGGTTGAGAGGGATGGAGCATAGTTTTCTTTTTTGAGGAGCAGGATAGTAATATAGAAGTCACCCAGACCTGGGTTCCATACTTAGCTCCATTGCTCATTAGCCATGGGACTGTGGGCATGTTGCTCACTCTCGAAGTCTGGGTTTCCCTGACTGCACAACATAGATTAGTACCTGTTTCAGGGTTTCATGAGGAGCAGAGGAAAATTGGAGTATAAACTGTGTGATATCATCAGTACGTTCCTAGTACTGAGCCACACCTGGTACATAGGAAGTGCTCTGTCAATAACGAATGAATAGACTACATTTTGAGGAACTGCCTCGCACAGTCCTGACACAATGAGGGCAATCAGTTAATAGCAGCATTATTATTTCCTTTTAGAGAGGTGACGACATGACATCCATGATTTGCTGGTAAATTAGAGAAGATGGGATGGGAAGGAGCTGGCTCCCACTTGTGTTTGTGTGCTTGGTGTTTGGCCTGGGGTCGGAGCTTAGGAGTGTCTGCCGACACATGCAAGGGCACTTGAAGATGACTTGGGTCAGTACTACTGGTCTAGGCTGTGGGATAGGAGGCAGCGTCCTCACCTCAGGGGCAGCTGTGCTGTGTGCTCTTGATTCCCCCACCCCTCTCAATGGTGTTTTCGTCTCCTAGGATGCAGTCATGCTGCATAGCTTTACCCTGCGCCAGCAGCTGCAGACAACCCGTCAGGAGCTGTCCCACGCTCTGTACCAGCATGATGCCGCCTGCCGTGTCATTGCCCGTCTCACCAAGGAAGTCACTGCTGCCCGAGAAGGTGCAGCTTCTTCCCCTGCCACCCCCTTAATGGGCTGGTTCTGCTATGTAATATCCCATTTCTAACATTATCTTTTCTCTCAGCTCTGGCTACCCTGAAACCACAGGCTGGTCTCATTGTGCCCCAGGCTGTGCCAAGCTCACAGCCAAGTGTTGTGGTGAGTGTCCATCTTCCCTTGCTAGTTACCCATTTGTGGGCAGTGGCCCGGGTAGCTCCCTTGCCTAGGGGATGACGTTCTGTGCTCTGCTCACATGACCTGTATCTTCTCTTCAGGGTGCAGGTGAGCCAATGGATTTGGGTGAGCTTGTGGGAATGACTCCTGAGATTATCCAGAAGGTAAGTCATGCTCTCCCTTGGTGGGAATACGGATGGGCTTTCACTTTTTACTGTCTGCCTTGAGTCCAGTATTGATAGAAATCCCCATATATGTAGGGCCCAGCTATGGAGGTTTAGGCGCTGCGTGATAGTGGAGCAGTATGGAAAGTCTGAGTGCAGATCCTGAGCTAACCTGAACACTGTTAATGCACCCTTGGGCGCCTTGACTGACTGGGTAGCTGGGGCAAGATTGTGTGGAGGGTCCTAGTCAAAAGCTCGCTCTCTCTCTCAAGAAGTAGATAAAATACAGACTAGCACATGGCATAATGCTGGACCCCCACGTATCGACACAGTTTGAGTCTTGGACCTGGTGACTTAAAACTCATGTTGGGCATGTGTGCCCAAGATCCTGAGAGGAGAATGGAGGCAAAGGGATTGAGGCATGGCCATCCCCTATGGGAATGATTTCTCATTTTTTGTCTGTGTCTCTCTCTGTCTCTCTGGCAAGTGCATATGCCCCTATAGCAAAAATCTCTCTTAAAGGGGGTGGGGCAGCAGGTAGCATGGTAGTTAAGGCACTGGACTCCCACATGGCCAACCACAGTTCAAGTCCCAGACCTGGTGGGTTGCTCTCTCACTTTCCGATCAAATTAAAAAATAATAAAATAAAAAATTGAAGTGGATAAAATAAACTTAAAAAATAATGATCGCATACACTTGGGAGTGGAGTAAAGTGGTACAGAGCATGGACTCTGGACCTAGGTTAGTATTTTGATGCCACCACTGCAAACTTTATGGCCTTGGCTCCTTAGCTGACCTTCTGTGTCTCATTTACTTTGCTTCTAAACTGAGAATTTAAAAGATTTAATTATTAGTAAGTGCAGCCTGTAACTCTTATTGAGATTCTTTGCAGGTACTAAACCATGTTATATGTTTTCATGTTTTTTTGCTATGAAGACAGGAAAGGAATTATCTTTATTTTGCTAACAAGGAATCTAAGATTCAGAGTCAAAGACACAGCTCAAAAGAAGCAGCACAGGGCTTCTGTTTTCAAGTCCAGTGCTGTGTTCTATGCACAGAATTCTCATTTGTGGGCCTTTCCTGGTGGTTCGGATTGTTAGTGTACATCTGGGTTCTCATCTTGGTGGCATACACCTGGTCTGGGAGCTTTACTGACCTGGATCATACCCTTGTTCTTGACATTTTCACCTCTGTGACCTTGGGCAAGTGACTTCACTTTTCTGAGGCTCAATTTCCCCAGCCATAAAATAAAGTCATCAACACCCATCTCATAAGGTTGAGGTGAAAGGAAGTAAATAGAGATAATGACATAATAGGCCTTGGACATAGAACGTGACAGGTAACACTTTCTTTGGACGCTTGTACAAGCACAGGTGTACCAGTACCCAGTGTGCCATTGACCTGGCAAGGTAATCTACCTCACCATGAGCTGTTCCCCTTTTTTCTTCCCAGCTTCAAGACAAGGCCACTGTGCTGACCACGGAGCGTAAGAAGGTAAGTCCTGCAGAGTCAGGAAAGGGGGTTGGCCTGATGGAAGGCAGTTGACCCCTGAGGAGAAATGGGGGTGCCTGGATCTTACACTCACAGTTGCTTTAACTGGGGGTACATTTTGTTTTCTCAGAGGGGGAAGACTGTGCCTGAGGAACTGGTGAAGCCAGAAGAGCTCAGCAAGTACCGACAGGTGGCATCCCATGTGGTGAGTGGCGGGATAACTTGGAGACAGGCCCTCTTGTGCTGTTTCTGGGAAAAGGTGGGCCAAAATGGAGCGTGGTGATGGAAAGCTGTTCAAGACTTTTGGCCTGTTTCTCTCCTTGGCTGCTGAGCCGTTAGGGGTTCTTTTCCTGCCCAGCTCTGGGGTCCCCAGTGTGCATTGAGGGAGTTGCCCCATCCAGGCAGAAAGCCAAGCAGAATAGATAAGAAAGAGAAATAACTCTTGTTCCTCCGGGCTGGGTAGGAGGTGGAAGACAGATGGCAGTGGGGAGTATGTGCCTTTGTGGTCTGCTGTGCCTTGACTGTGACTGCATTTGGTGTGGCTCTCTCTGCATAGGGGTTACACAGTGCCAGCATTCCTGGTATCCTTGCCCTGGACCTCTGCCCCTCCGACACCAATAAGATCCTCACTGGTGAGAGTCTGGGCCTGGCCTAACCGGTTGAAATGGAAAGGGGTGGCAGGGGAAAGTGCATGCTCTTTGTTCTCTTCGTGGGCCTAGGGATAGAAGGACCTTTCTCAGCAAAGTACCTGGGTAGACCTGACTCTTTTGATCTCATTTTGGTTCTCTCCAGGTGGGGCGGATAAAAATGTCGTCGTATTTGACAAGAGTTCTGAGCAAATCCTGGCCACTCTCAAAGGCCATACCAAGAAGGTCACCAGTGTGGTATTTCACCCTTCCCAGGTAAGAGGTTTTCCTGGCTCTGTTCTTCTTCCCTTCCCTGAGCCCTGTTTCAGTAGTTTTGGGTCTCAGAATAGTCCCCCATTTCCCTGCTGCCACCTCGGTGACGTATGGCAGAGAAAAGAGAGTGGACGTGGGCATTTAGGGGTGTCTTAGGAGTCAAATATAGGACTTTCTTTTTTTTCTTATTATTTGTTAAAGGCTTATTTAATTTCGTTTAGTATGTATATACCTTTTTTTTTTTTTTTTTGCGGGGGAGAGTATTTTGCTGTAGGGTACGTGCGCTTGCCAGAAAGAAAGAAAGTGAGAAATCACCAGGGATATGGACATGCTGCAATCCCTTCTCTTCCATTCTCCTCTCGGGATCTTGGGCACCCAGCGTGAGTTTAAGCCACCGAGACTGGGACCCAGCTATAGTCGACTACATGGGAGTCCAGCAACATAGCCATTACGCCAACTGCTGGTCCCTATTTAGTATTATTTTCTAAATTTGCCATAGGGCACATGTGCTTACGGGGAGGGAGGGTGACAAAGTAAGTCCCTGGGTCTGGGACTTGAATTGTGGTCAGCCATATGGAAGTTCAGCATCTTAACCACCATGGCACCTGCTGGCCTCTATGTAGGTTCTAAAGCACTGGTCTTCATGGAAGGTCAAGAAAAGGAATGTATAGTTTGACAAAGCCTATTCATCTAAATATTTTACATTAGGAAAAGAAGAAAAGTTCTTTGTTTCTTTGTTTTCTTTTTTTTTGGAGAGGTTTTTGCGATAGGGCACGTGCGCTTGCCAGACAGACAGAAAGCGAGAAATTACCCCCCAGGGGGGATGGCCATGCTGCAATCCCTTCTCCTCCATTCTCCTCTCATGATCTTGGGCACGTGCCCGGTGTGAGTTTAAGCCACCGGGTCCGGTACTTAAACCGCGGTCGACTATGTGGGAGTCCAGCGACATAGCCATTACGCTAACTGCTGGTCCCCCATTTATTTGTTTGTTTTTAAGAGGTTTTTGCTATAGGGCGCATGTGCTTGCTAGAAAGACAGAGACAGAAAGACGGAAAGCAAGAAATCACCCCCCAGGGGGGATGGCTATGCCACAGTCCCTTCTCCTTCATTCTCCTCTC